CCGGCCGCGCCAGCAGAGGGCGCGCGGCCACCGTGGAAGCAGCGAGGGTCGGGGCGGTGGAGACCGGAGGGCAGGCAGGCTGGGGAAGCGGGAGGGCGCAGCCGCGCAGAGAGCAGAGCTGTGGGCAAAGGGACAAGGGGCGCAGGGACAGCGGGACCCACAAGAAGGAGGTGGAGAGAACTAGAGCAGGATGGGGACTCCACACAGTCTGGGAGGCAGTCAAGGAAGCACAGGTGGGGAGCAGGGGCCGCCCCGGGCGCCCCCGAAGAGACTGCCTGGGTAACGCCGCTCCACTCTTGCCAGGCTGCAGCACCCCAGGGTCACCCCCACCTCACCATGGGGCCCCACGTGTCAACCTGGCGTCTCCTTGACTGGGCTTCTGCTCCCCTTCCCACGGAGCTTAGTACCCCAAGGGCTCCTTACTAGGACCCCTGAAGCGGTAGGGGGAGAGGAAGGCCCCGTTGCACAGGTGACCTCGGGCCCCGCCTGGCTTCTCTGCCCTTGTCCCGTCCGAGGGGCTCACTGGACAGCAGCGGGGTCCAGGCAAGGTGCCCAGAGCCACTGAGCAGTGGCGCCTCCCCTGGCCCTTCCTCTCCCCCTTGGAGAGAAGGTAACACCGCCACCCCTTTCCACAGGAAGAAACTGAGGCTCAAGAGGCTAAGTCCTGTCCTGGGCCGCCCCCTTTACAGATGGCTGGGGCTCTGGGGTGCCCAGCTGTCCAGGAGCAGGCCCTGGCAGGGAGGCCCTGCTGGCCACTGGCCTCTGGCCTGGAGCACGTATTGAGCGCCTGCTGTGTGCGGGCCTGGTGGGTAGGGCGGCTGCAGACTACCCTTGCAGGGGTTACTCTTCACAGCCTGGAAATAACCCTGCCCTCCATTTCACTAGTGGGGAAACTGAGGCTTCAAGAGGCGAAGCCACCTGCCCACTGTCAGCATCTGGGCTTGGAGGAGAGGGCTGCGGGGGGGCTCCCCCCCACCCCCGCGCACCCCGTCTGCATCAGCCCATCCCCCCAAGCTTGCGCCCTGACTGTGGGCTGAGGACACCAGCCTTCTCTGAGGTGGGGGGGGGGGCAGGAGAAAAGAGACCCGGCCCCAGGGCGGCTCCGGGCTGGGAGCCGGAGATGTGGCTGGTGGGATCGATGCAGGCTGCCCGCGCTTTATTGGATTGTTCCTGGCTCCTGAGCCCCCCTCGCCCTGGGCTCCTCCCAGAATCCTCTCTTCTTTGCCCTCCCCTGCCCCTACCCCCCTCTAAGCAGAGCTTGGGAAGCCGAACAGAGAGGAAGAGAGAGCTCAGAGTGGCTCTGCCCTTCTCGGCTCCTGAGCGTGGGCTCCCCATCAGGCCGCAGAGGGACTTCCTGGCCTGTAGGGGGGGGCCGGGCTGCGGGGCGGCAGAAGGGCCCTCACCCTGCTCCCCAGCATGGCTACTCCCACCGGCCGGCCGCACTCTGAATCAGCCCCCGGCTTCCCTCCGCCCCCCTCAGGCGGCCCTCTCCCCCATGTCCCGCAGTGTACCTCTGGGACCAGCCGGAGGAGGGCGGCCTGGGCATGCTGCTCAGCCTAGAGGAGCAAGTGCTGAACTCCACATTCCAGGCCTGTGACCCCCAGAAGACAGGTGGGAGGGGCAGCTCAGGGTGGGGGCAAGCAGATGGATGAGGGGGGAGGTGGGGGCCAGACTGGGCTGGGCAGGAAGAAGTGGGTGATTGTGGGAGGAGCCCCCAGAGGCAGAGGAATGGGGGGTGTTTGAGGGGCGGGAAGGGCAGCGTGTGAGGCAAGCCCAGGGCTGGGCAGGGAGGGCTGCCCCTGTGGGCCTGGTGGGGTTCAGCTGTCCTCTCCGGCCGCCCTGTGAGGTGGGCGTGACTGCATGCCATTTTCAGGTGAAGAGGGATGCCTCAGAGGAGGGGAGAGGGTGTCCCCGAGGCCAGTGACACCCGTACCCCTTCTCACTGCCCCTCCCCTCCTGTTGCTCCGGCCCCGCCCCCAGGCACTGTGACTGTCACCCACGTTCTGGCTTACCTGGAGGCAGTGACCGGAAGGGGCCCTCAGGACGCACGCCTCCAGACCCTGGCTTGCAGCCTGGACCCCAATGGGGAGGGCCCCAAGGCCACTGTGGACTTGGACACCTTCCTGGTTGTCATGCGGGACTGGATCGCTGCCTGTCAGCTGGATGGGTGTGTGCCCGAACCCCACTGAGTCCTCACACCTCACACCTGCTAGCGCCTCCGGGTGCCAGCCCGCCAGCGGCAGGGAGGAGGAGGCCAAGGTGGGGGCTTGAGGGCTGGAAGGAGAATGGGGTGCTGGGGGCCGACGGGCCCTGCCCACCCCCAGCCCAGCGCTGCCCCTCTTGCTCTTCCACATGGCCTCCCCGTGCTCCGTGCTGGGTGCTCCTCTCCTGTGACCGGCCCTCCCCCGCCACCCCCTGCAGAGTGCTGGTGGGGGCTGAGGGGGCGGCGGGCTCTAAGCCTCATCCCTTTGATACAGGGGATTAGAGCTGCAGGAGGAGACGGTCTTCGAGGGGGCCCTCACCTCCCAGCAGGTGCCATCTGGTGAGCTCGCTATATATAGCGTGAGGCAGGCGGGGCCTGGGGGCCACCGGCCAGCAGGGGAGAGGGTGGGACCCCAGGGGCCTTGCTCTAGACTGGGCCTGTGAGTTCACTTCCTCAGTGCTCCACGCCGACCCCCACCTTCCAGGAGCTCGGTGGGGCTTTCTCCCCGCTTCACTCCTGCTCGTCACAGGCCAGCAGGGCCGCCCGGCCCTCTGCCCCCTCCCTGCGGTAGCCCCGATCCTGGCCGCGCTGGCCTGCAAGGCTTGCAGCTGGCCCCCGCTGGCCCCGAATGCAGACTGCACTCTAGCCCTGTGGAGCCGGCCAGCCCGGCCAGTCACCCACCTGGTCGTGCCACCAGTGCCTTGGGGCCCACGTAAAGTTTTGTTCTTTCTCTGACCTTCGAGAAACACCACAAAGCCCAGAAATGCCATCTCTTGGCTTTCCACTGCCCCTCCGCAGCCGGGCTGGGGTGCTGGCCGGGTTGCGAGCCGCAGCCAGCACCGCTCCAGGCGAGGACGGACCCGGGGAGAGCTGGGGGGCAGGGGCGGAGGAGGCTGTGGCGAGGGGACTCGGGGCCCGGGCTTGGTGGACTGGGGAGAAGGCCTGGACGACGCAGTGGTGGGGGTGCGGGGCTACCTGGGGTTTGCAGGACACTGAGCCGCGGCGGGTGACGAGTGTAGGCTAACAGGGAACTCTGCTCCAGCGCAGAGGCCTCGCTGGCCGGGGTCAGTGCACCCCGAAGACATCCCCAGGGCCCTGGCCAGGGTGGAGCCTGCCCCCCGAGCTCACAGGGTGCCCCCCATCTGTCCCTCTTCAGGGTGCCCAGAAGCCGAGGAGCCAGCCAGCCTGGAGAGCTTCGGGGGCGAAGACCCCAGAACAGAGCTGTACCTACCCGAGGGCCCTGCTGTCCCCCCGCCCGTGGGGGCCCTGGGGGGGAGGGGCGGGGCCGCTCGGCGCAGGGGGCGCTGGCGACCGTGGCTCCCCCTCTGCCGGGCGCGTGCAGTGACCCCCTGCCCTGCCACAGGCCAGCCACGGCGGACCTGCTGAGCAGCCTGCAGGACCTGGAGCTCGGCAACCGGCGGCTGGCCCGGGAGAACGCCAAGCTGCAGCGCAGCGCCGAGACGGCCGAGGAGGGGGCCGCGCGCCTGGGCGAGGAGCTGCTGGCCCTGCGCAAGCAGCTGCGCAGGTGACCCCGCCCCGCCCCAGCGGCCCGGGCCCTGCCCCACCCTGCTGGTCCGCGTGGAAGCCGGTCTCTGCCCACAGCCTCCGCGCCTGCCCCCTCCCCGGCCTGCGCCCTCCTGGTGTCCGGTGTCCGGTGCTTCTGTCTCCCTCGGGGCTCTAGCTCTGGCTTCCTCTGCTCACTCTCCCTCGCCCCCCCGCCCCCCAGCACCCAGCAGGCCCTGCAGTTTGCCAAAGCGGTGGGTGAGGAGCTGGAGGACCTGAAGACTCTGGCCAAGAGCCTGGAGGATCAGAATCGCGGCCTTCTGGCCCAGGCCCGGCAGGCGGTAGGTTCTGGGCCAGGAGCACGGAGGCGTCTCTTTCCGCCTCTGTGGGGGCGGCGCAGGAGTGGGGGGCAGTGGAAAGGGACACCCTGGCTTCTCCCTCCCCCAGGCCCTGCTCGCCCCAGACTTAGGGCCTGATGTACCTGCCTTTCGCGACCGCAGGCTGGCACGAGCTAGCAGGGCTTCTGGGCCCAGGTGGGGTTGGCAGGGCGGGCGAGGGCGATCGGGGACAGGAGGCAGCAAAAGGAGCCTTTGTCCCCCCTCCGGTGGCGCAGGAGAAGGAGCACCAGCAGCTGGTGGCTGAGATACAGACTCTGCAGGAGGAGGTGAGCTGGGGCCCGGCCCCCCTCCCCCAGCCCCCCACACTGGGATCAAACGCCCTTCCGACCCGACCCGAATCTGACGCTGTGGGGATGTCCCTGGGCCGCCTCGCCTGTGGGGCACTGCCATGGCTGTAAGCTGTGGGCACGGGCGGCCGCGGGCCTGAGGCTCATACCCAGGCTGCCCATGCAGGCGGGGCCTCCTCCCTGGGCCGGGCGGAGGGGCGCAGCCCTGCACGTCCGGGCTGGGCACAGGGGTTTCAGCCTGCGGCGGCCGCACGTCTCAGGTGGGGCAGAGTCAGCCTGGCGCACGGCTTGGGTGCAGCTCTGGTGGAAAGAGCACGGGCCTTGAGGTCGGCCCGCGTTTGAATCCCCCCTCTGCTGCTCAGCAGCCCCGGCCTCGCCCGCTTTGTAGCTTCATCGCCCACACACCAGGCTGTTGGCCACCAGGCTCACTGCGAAAGTGAGGTGACAGCCTCAGCCCTGAGTCCCCGTCAGGCCCCCTTCTCAGACGCTGTCACCTCGCTAATGCCGGCTCCAGCCACCCCTTCTGTGCTGAGGCGGAAACTCATCCCTGCCACCCGCCCCTGCCCCCACAAGGCAGCATCGAGAGTCTCGAGACCGGCACAGCCTCTCGGCGCCCCGGGAGCCGTGGGCCTTGCTCAACGGCTGCTCTCTCCGTGGTCACGAGATTGATGTTCGTCATCCCATCTGGCCCTCGGCCTGAGTCGCCACTGCGCCGGCGCCCGCAGGGAGCCTGGCACTGCCTCGCGGCCTCTGGACAGTCCTGCACCTGCTGGTGGCCGTCCTCAGGCGGACCCCACAGCCCCCCAGGGGCTGGCCCCCACTTCACAACTTCTGCACCATCTGGGGGCCTCCCGGCAACGCTCCAGACTCACGGGGCCCCAGTGGACCCCTTCTGCAGCGGCCCCTCCCCCACTGTGTCTAGTCTAAGATGCACATGTCTGCCCTGAGGCCGAGTGGGGGCGCCTTTGCTGACGCTCCCACACTGTGACCCCAGTCCCCACAGTGATACCCACTCTGCCTGAAACCCCAGTCTCTATGTTCTGCGCCTATACTGTGGCTTTTTTAACTTAAACCCAAATTTTTCTCCACCTCTTCCATGAAAACCCCTCTCTTGGGGTGATGGGACTCTTGCCACGCCTGAGACGTGGGGTGCAGAAAGGAGTGCTTGTAGCACCTCTGAGACCACGAAGCAGCTTCCCTGAGAGCCCTGCGGCAGAGCTCCGTCTTGCATCTACTTGGCCGAAGTGACATCTGAGGGTTACAGCCAGAACATCCCCCAGCCGGGGACATGGCCCAATGGGCCTGGCCTCCTGGCTGCACGCGGGGAGCGCTGGAGGAAGGGGGCGTCAGTCTGAGCAACAGCCAACTCCTCGGAGCTTGCGGCTCGGGCTTGCTGGCTCGCTGGCCCTTGGTCGGCCTGCGGCCTCGTGACGCCGGATGCTGCTCTGGACCTCACGCTCACTCGGGACAGGACAGCGGGCAGGGCTCTGCTCAGCAAAGGGACTGCCGGAGCCTCTGCGCTGCGCGCACCGCCCCACCCCCTCTCTCATGCCCCAGGTCCCAGTCACCTGGCCCCGCAGCAGCAAGGAGAGCGGGAGCCAGCGCCCTCCCAGCCTCGGAGAACATGTGCAGGGAAGGCCGGGGCCAGCCCGGCCCCTGAGCCACTGGCATCTCCACCTCTGTTCACCCCAGGCTGGGGCTGGGCCCGCCTGCCGCGGGCGGGTGACCTCATGAAAGCCCAGGGCTGGCTGGGTGAATGGCGGCCAGGGGCTCTGCGCGCACAGGCCACTGCCCCTTGCGGAGCTATTCTGGGGCTGCCCCCTCACAGCTGCCCCAGCCCACGGCTCCGGCTCCGGTTACAGCCGGTGAGGCTGGGCTGAGGCAGCCTTCAGAGAACCTACAGCGAGGCTGAGGCTCGGGTTACTGCAGGGAGGCGGTGAGCAACTTGCCCTGCCAGGGCCAGGCTCCAGCCCAGTCCCCACCAGGTGGACAGATGTCGACACAGCATTCCTGGCCCGTCCTTCCTCGCCCTTCACCTGGCAGCCCCGGCCTGCTGAGGCCGAGACTGATGGAGGACGCGGCGTGGGCCGGTTGAGGGAGGAGGCGCTGGCCCTGTGTCCCCTGGGGCGCCGGAGGAGGGGCCTGACAGGCGGGGAAGGCTGTCTGCAGGCCCCCAACGCCGTCCTCGCCCCAGTGACCACCTCACGGGGAGCCGTGCCACTTGTTAGGGTTTGGGGGATGAGGGCTGCTCTACGCCCAGTGCGTGGCCGGTGAGTTTTCTGGGTGACTCCCCACCCTGCAGGACTCGGCCCCAGCAGCAGCAGCAGCAGCTGCGCCTCCCGCCCTCCTCCGGGCCCCTGTGGGGGTCCTGGCCTCTCTGGAGCCCCAGCTGGTGCTTGGCGGCTGGCTGGTGGCGGCTGCTCCTCTCTGGATAAGCAGGCGGGGAGGGCCGCTGCCAGTCCCCCCCCAGACTGTGCCTGGCACCCAGGGGCACCCAGAGAGTCGGGGGGTTAGAAGCACAGGCTTTGAAATCACCTCTGCGTTGAGTCCACGCCCCCCCACGTGACCTTGGTTGTGGTCCTTAGCTTCGCTCAGTAAAATCGGGGATGATGATTCAGAAAACAGCCAGTCACCCCGTTCTTCCCGGGCGCCACGACTCCATGTGTTTAGCAGTGTCCACGACAACTTCCTGCTGAAACGCTGCCCGCCCCGAGGGGGACAAGGCCCTGGGTCCACCACCAGCCGGGAGGCCGTAACGAGGCCGGGGGCACCGGCTGGCCCTGCGCTAGGAAGAGGGCACCAAGGCCAGGCCACCGGTGCTCAAGGCCAGGCGGGGGCGGGGCGGGGCGAAGGCCGCTGAGGGTAAAGGCACGGCGAGGTACCCACAGGGCAGCGGGCATGCATGCGGCCCACACTGGGGCTGCACGAGAGAAAAAAGGTGGAAATACAGGGGGTCACCTGCCTGGATACAGGGGGTCACCAGCCTGGACATGGCTTCAGGGTGATCTGGTCAGGGAAACCGAAAAACTGGGAGGGTGGAAGAAACAGGAGGAAAAAAGAAAATATATATATATATATATAATATTATGAAAAATATATATAGTTATGGAAACTGGGTGCTGGATAATGGGGGGTCACTGACTTATGTTTACTTTTATGCGTTAAACAGCATTGCCCTACGCAGTTTCTAAGTTTTAAAGTGAGTGTCTATCGTAATGTGACGCCCCATCCTGAAAGCTCTGTGCTCACCGACAGACCACCGGGGCAGCTCCCCCTCCCGGGCCCCGCCTTTCGCCAGAACGGGCGCTGGGGAGTGCGTGGGCGCAGCCCTGAAGTCTCGCCTGCCGCCTGCCAAGTGGACTGTCCGGTCTGCGCTGGGGGCCCTTCCCGAGGCCCAGGAGTGGGCGCTGAGACCCGGGGCCAGAGGGAGGAGACGGCTCACGCAGAGACGCAGACGGGCCGGTCCCCTGCCCGCGCGAGGGGTCAGCGTTGCGCATTGCTGGCCGTTCGCTGACTGGACTTCACTGTTGTTCCTCCTTCCAGAACGGGAAGCTTCTGGCCGAGAGGGATGGAGTGAAAAAAAGGAGCGAGGAGCTGGCCACCGAGAAGGATGCTCTGAAGGTGCCACCCCAGTGCCCTGACGCCGCCACCTCCTGGGGGCCATTTCCCAGCGCAGGCTTAGCCTCCCAGGCCCGTGAGAGCCGGAGTCCCCACCACACCCAGCCTGTGCTCCCCAGGGCGGCCAGGCAGCCCCCCTCTCTACACACACCCCTCTCCCTCTCCTGGGGTGGCAACGAGGGAGGTGAGCCGGGGACCCTGGCCCAGTGAGGGCGGCCAGGCACCCGGGCTTGGGGTGCAGGCAGACAAAAGGCTCCTTCCGTGGCAGCGGCAGCTCCGTGAGTGCGAGAGCCTCATTTGCCAGCGAGAGGCCGTCCTCTGCGAGGTGAGGCTGGGAGAGAAACCTGGGGCCCTGGCCTGTCTCCTGCCCCAGGCTGGAGAGGGACCAGAGGGACCGGCTGAGGCTTCCTGGAGCTCAGGCTGGCCTGGGAGAAGCTGAGCGCCCGCGCCCCCCGGGACCGTCCCTTCGCGGCTCCCCACAGGCCAGCCCCAGCCCGGCCTCCTTTCCCCGGGGGCTGGGCCGGCTCAGTGGGCTTTGGGCTTTCCCAGCGCACTCGCCACGCAGAGAACCTGGCCAAGACCCTGGAGGAGTACCGAGCGACCACCCAGGTGACCCAGCCGCTGCCCTCCTCTGGGCGTCCTGGGACGGCCTCCGCGCGACCTTGCCCAGGCTCACCCTTCTCCCTCTCAC